TGGGGACAGAGAGAAGCAGCTACCAAAGGTGGTTAAGAGGAGGAAGGAGATGAGATCATTTTGGGTAAAGCTAACACTGGAAGGAAGTAATCAGCAAATTCAAAGCTCTGAGAAAAGAAAAGCTACCACACTGATAAAGTGACAAATCAAGCAGATGCCCACTTTTTCCAATTTCTATGGGGATAAAAGTGAATGCCGAAAAATTTCTCTTTTGTAGATTCCATTTTTATATAATCAATATTACATATGTTCTACCCCGATTAAATTGGAATTACAATCCCTGACAGAGGAAAAGATGAAGTATGTCTTATACCTCCTAGGAACTCACAGTGGTTGGGTTCATTTGGTTTTAACTGAATGCATGTGCCCAGAAACACAAACGCTTACTGAGAGAGTGGCCTCTTTTCTGTTGTTGTAGGTATCCAAATATTCCTGCAGTTCTAAAACGCTGAACTTGAGCTTGTCCAGAAGTCCACAAGAGAGGAGCTAAAGACAGGAAAATACTTTGTATTAAAACAACTAAAAAGATACCAACACTAAGGCTTGGCTACACAGATAGAAAAGAGATGTATATTTAGAAGTAATGTAGAGGGGGCGGCAGTGTTATTCATTTTAATAAGCTGTGAAATTTGGAATTTTGCTGCACTATCAGTTGCAAATCGAAATACTAGCTTGCTGGTCCAAGCCTTTTATGAAAATATCTATTTTTCCCATGTCAATACAGGCAGATAAGCCTTACCAAGTATTCCATAGAAGTCCACATTGAGATATGATACCATTTTATTCATGAACTTTACTATCATCCTCCAACAATACTCCTAGTAGTGTGAAGACAGACCTCCAAAGAGACTTTCAAACTGACTTTGTATTTAATCTGTACTTTAAATCATTTAAGATACAATAATTTCTCATATTGTATTCCTTGCTGCAAGACAGCCAACCACCAATCAAGTTCTTAAAAAGACTCTCCAGAGATTTAAAAAATCAAAACCCATCCTCAATGGTTTTAAACATCGGTAATTACTGAGCATATGTGATGATGGTTCTGTGATATGATGGGGGTTGTAAAGAAAGGTAACATACAACCCCTGCCCTCAAAAAGCTCACCAGTCTTGCAGGGTTAGAGTTACATTCATAAAGTTATGATTCAGCAGTCAGCCAGAGACTATTTTAATTATCCTTTAAACTCATCATTTGCAGTTGGGCTGGGCAAATCTAGAGGGCAATGAGTCTCTCTTAGAGACTTGGGGATGGGGGGGAGTGATGACATGTTGCTTCTGGAGACCCATCTGGCTGGCCAGCCTGGCATGTGGGGACTGGCTGGGTCAGCTCTGGGGGAGTTAATCCTACCATACGCACAGCTGTTAAAATCAGTCATCAGAGAGAGGTGCCAAGGACACAGAAGTAACAGATTTGGATTTTTCTCCTGATTCTCTGAAATGGCTTTGCCTTGGCNTTGGCCAGGTCAGCTCTGGGGGAGTTAATCCTACCATACGCACAGCTGTTAAAATCAGTCATCAGAGAGAGGTGCCGAGGACACAGAAGTAACAGATTTGGATTTTTCTCCTGATTCTCTGAAATGGCTTTGCCTTGGCCTGAGCTGACAATGTACAGTAGTTACTCTGCAGACCCCAAGGCCTTTGGGAGTTGTATCGCAACACAGTGCTGCTCACAACACCAAAGGTATCTTTAAAACAAACCATAACACAAGCATGCTACCCTGAAGTTCCACACCACAAGCTGGGCAGTCTCCAGTGCCAGTGCAGGACTGGGATACTCACAGTCTCAGCATCCACGAAAAGTGTAGGGCATTCAGAGCAGGAGGTGAGCATCTGGGAAGAGCTGACGAATTTGGATCCGATTCCCCGGAGGTTATCTCCAAGGTAACTGGCTGCATCACAGGTTAGGAAGCAGAACCTTTTCTGAATATTCTGCAAGGCAGAATAGTGACCATTTGAAAAGGCCAAGTTTAACTTATGTACTCAAAAAACTATTTTATTTTGGTGGGAGAGGGAGTCTTCTTTTTAAACTTTATTTTTAATTGACAAATAAAAATTATATATATTTATCATATAAAACATGTTTTGAAATATGCGTATATTGTGGAATGGCTAAATTGAGCTAATTAACACATGCATTACCTCACATATTTTTTATGTGGTGAGAACACTTAAAATTTACTCTCAGCAATTAAAAAAAAAATTTTATTTATCATTACACAATATAAACATTTCTGGGGCCCTTTACCAATTTCTCCCTACCTCCCCGCCCCCTTTCCCACCTCTGGTGTTCTCAGT